ACTGCAGTCTCTGTACCCCATTGTCCCCCTTGACTACAGGTGTTTCCCTCCCTCCTCCCTACTGTGGGCTGCTGAGTCACTGCTCAGAGGCTCTTGGCTTTCACCACTGTGCGGTATATGACTTCAGGGGAATTTAGGCTGTCTGAATACAGCCCTAGTTGGTGCTTTTTTTAATTTATTACTGAAAAGAAGCTTGCTACAGTCGCCAGAGCACACAAGCCCATAGAAACATAGTGTGGTTTTGAAATATTTTTTTATATGCTTTATATTCAACCCGTCACAGCAGCATGGGTGCACCTCCAGTGGTATGTTAAAAGAGAAGAGCTGTTACCAGTTGTGTGTATCCATCCCTGTGCTTTTTGTAGCGTCAGATTACAGATGTAGTCTGGTGTGTTGTGATGTGCTGCGGGCAGGGAATAAATTGATACTGATTTGTGAAAGGGTAGAGCTGAGTGGAAAGGAGGATAATACAGAGGTTTGTGAAATTGCAGGTTTTACCCTTAGTTATTTTGTTGTTTAATTGCCATTATTCTGAGTCTCTATCGCCTGTGGAACTAAAAAATTTGCTATGATCATAGGTGTCTGATAGTAACTTACATTACAGTGAGAATATTTCCTGCTTCATCAACATCCAGAGAAAACCCTGATGATCAAAGGAGCAAATGCACAATCTTAGAGTGTGGCAGCAGGCTGCCTCTCCATGCTCAGTACAGAGTGGTGAAGACGAACCACAGTGACTGAGTCCCTGCTGTGCTGCTCTTGAGTTTCTGCTGGATCAGGACAGGCTGGCACTGTGTGTGGAGTCCTGGCCTCACACGCTGCACAGCAGCCTTGGCCCGCACTGCTGTGTTTGCTCTCTTTGGATCCACTAACCTCTGCCTTTACTTAAACTTCTTTGGCTCTTCTCCACTACCCTTACTTTGCAATGCTGGTTGCTTTCTCCTAAGTTGTAGAGCTGTTTTGTTTTAATGGCCCGAGCTGCACTTGAAAAAAAATTCATTCTAGTGAAACACAGCTTTCAAGAGGGTACTGGAATCTTGAATTCTCAATCACTGCTCACAGAACACAACTTGCTCTGGATTTGTTGGCATGTGTGTCGTGTCTGAACATTTTCCCAAATGTAATGCTTTATTAATTTTTATTGCCTTCTGAATCAAGACCCTGTGGAGATCCTTTAGGTGCTTAGTGAATGGCTTGATTGCCTTTAACCCTTCCTCTTGAGGAATTCTGTGTACTGTTTCTTTTTAGAGTTTCTGCATGCATGTTACTGAGCTGGATGATGCTTCCCATACCCAAGCAATTTAAAGGCGTTTTTGAAGAAAGAGTTTCTTTTGAAGTGTTCTGTGAGATTCCTTTATTCATGCACAAATATCTTCCAAAATTTCATGGGCTGAGAAAATGAGATTTAGATCCCACCACTGCCAGAATACATTACAAAATTTTGATGTTCCTAATGCTGTCCTGTACTACAGTCTCCACCACTGTACAGAATTCTCCAGGAATGGGTCCATCAGGTTTTAAAAAATGGCAAAGTGTTTTAGGGGACTGGGTAGAGAAATGTCACTTCCATACTCAACTCGGGCTCCACTGACCCCTTTTCACAAAGTTTACTGATACAGGAATAGTTTCCACTGGGAAAGATTGAAGTGTTACTGCCCTAAGCTGCGCAGATCTCTCAAGTCCTGGTTCACTGCTTTTGCCAGGCATCTGCTCTGCTCCTGCTTCTTTGCTCTCACTGCAGCTACTGCCAGTGACCAGCAGTGTTTGTGCTGTCTCTCCTGTGCCTGCCAACTTGCTTTTTGGTTTGGTTTTTGTGTGTGGAGGTCCTCCCCCCCTGCTAGGGAAGTGAGGAATTGCTGTGTGGCTGGTGGCTCTGCGAAGAGTACGCTGTGTTTGTGGAGAGTCTCAGCATCTTGTGCTTCCCTGAGAGAAAAGCATGTTGCTGCTGGCCCAGAGCTATGAGCTCTGCAGGTATGCCTAGTCAAAGTTAGAAACCGTTGACTTGAACTCCTTGTGTAGTAGGAATTAAGTGGTAATGTGTGGTTACAAAAGCTGAAATGCGTTTTCCTTCTGCTCTCTAAGCAGGGCACTGGTATTGATTTGGCTCTTTTGTCATCAGTGCGAACAGGTGCAGCTTCTGGCATCTCAGTGGGCCAAACTGGAAACTGGACACTGATCAGGATTAAAAGCAACTCAGCAAAATAAAGAATGTGTGTTTTTACCCTGGATCGGTTCCTGACTGTTGTGGTTTAAGCCCAGGGGGAAACTGAGCTCAACTCAGCCACACAGCTGCTCATTCAATCCTTCTCCCTCAGGGATGGGAAGGAGGAAATAAAACAAAAGGCAGTGAAATCAAGACAAGGACAGGGAAGGATGACTTGCCAGTTATGCTCATGGGCAAAAGATAGACTCAGTTGAGGAAAAAAAAGAACATCAATTTAATTTCAACACCACCACCAACAATTTACCAAACAGAGTAGGACAGTGAGAAATACAACTACATCCTAGAAACACCTTCCCCCCACCCCTCCCTTCTTCCTGGGCTCAGCCTTCCTGCTGATTTCTCTACCTCCTGCCCACCAGCAGCACAAGGGCACAGGGGATGGGGGTTGCAGTCAGTTCATCACCTGTTGTTTCTGCTGCTCCTTCTCCTCAGGGAGAGGACTCCTCACACTCTTCCCCTGCTCCAGCCTGGGGTCTGTCCCACAGGAGACAGTCCTCCACGAACTTGCTCCAATGTGAATCCTTCTCACAGGCTGCAGCTCTTCGCGCACGGCTCTAGCATGGGTCCCTCCCACGAGCTGCAATCCTCCCAGCAACAGACTGCTCCAGCGCGGGCTGCCCTCAGAGTGCTGGCCTTCCTCGGGCACAGCCCCTGCTCCAGCGTGGGGTCCTCCACGGGCTGCAGGTGGCATCTGCTCCACTGGTGACCTCCATGGGCTGCAGGTGGACATCTGCTCCACTGGTGACCTCCATGGGCTGCAGGGGCACAGGCTGCCCTCTCACCACAGGCTGCAGGGGGCGGGGGGGGGTGTCTCTGCTCTGGCTCACCTCCCCCCTCTCCTTTCTTCCACTGACCTCTGTGTTTGCAGAGGTATTTCCCTCACCAACCTCTCCTACTCTCAGGTTGCCCTTCTTAAATATGTTATTGCAAAGGTGCAGCCACCATTGCTAATTGGCTTGGCCTTGGCCAGAGGTAGGAGGCATGGGAGCTTTGAGAATCTTCTCACAGGAGCCACCACTGTAGCCCTCTCCCCTGCTACCAAAACCCCACCACACACAAACCCATCACACTGACACAGACCACTGTGTGAATCCATAAAAAGTTGTGGAACAACCAGGGAGGTGTCTTGGAATGGGAAGCCATCAATAGGAGACTGGAACAGAACTAAACCCCAAATTCACAGGTGTTGGAAAGGGTTGAAAAAGGTGGGGACAACTGCTCGGAGTGCTTTAGGAGAACTATTGCATGCAGAAGGGAGCAGGGAGAAAAAGAACAGATGGATTTTAAAATTTTTGTTTTCATGTTATGATGGGTCTGAACAGGAAAGCTTGATAATTGAATGAGGAATTTGCAGGTCGGGGCTTCTCTCACTGCAGTACTTGATAATATCTTCAAATAATTTTTATTAGGGGCAAGAATCTTCGTTAAAGGTTTCATGGACTTCTATTATATGGCATAGCAAATTCTGGGGTTCTGCTCTGCCTTTATCTCTTATTTTTATGTTCTTGGTATCACACCCATTTTAGGTTCTTCTGCACTTAATTTTTTTTCCTCTTGTAATTTTCCCCTTGAAGCAAATCTCTTCTGTGTTACATACTAGGCAGTCCACGCATGACTAGGATCGACAGTGCTGTTTCATTCTGTAAGGAAGGAATCAGTGTTTTATGCTTTCAGTTTCTCTAACTGGAGCCCACTGTCAAACTTTTAGGACTTCTACAGATTTTTCCTAGCTAAATAAAAACAAACTAACCTTGTCATCATCTTTGGGTGCCTGTGCTTGACTGGTTGATTTAACTTGTGTGGCCAAAGTTCTGATGCCAGTCTTGGAAAGTGAACTTATTTAAGAATAGCTGTATTTGTTGTTGTTAGTAAATTACTAGAATTATGGTAGACTACAGATACAAAGTAGAAATACAGGCTTCAGGGAGCACTGAAAATAAAATTAACCTAAGTGAAACACTGTTAGATGAAAATGGACAAGCAATACAGAGCACTGGCACAGAATGGAAAGGGGAGTGGTAGTCATGTACTTCTTGTGTTTGGTTTCTTTTTTCTTTGCTTGGTTTCTGTCCTGGTTTCAACTAGGATAGGGTCAAATTTTCCCCAGCAGAGAGAGGGGGAAGGGATCTCCAGCCGGGTTATTCATACCATGTTGACGTCAGGTCCAGGGGTGGAGCTTTTTCACTTTTGCTTTTGGTTTTGGGGGTTGCGACACACGCGGTGGGCTTGTTCCCTGACCATTTTGCGGTATTTCTCTGTATATCTTTTGTCTTGTTTCACTGTTATTGCTGTTTATTGTTGTTGTTATTGCCACTGTTGTTGTTCAGATTGTTTTATCACACTGTTGTATTAAATTTCTTATTTCAGCCCGGGGTCTGTGCTTAACTTCCAGCCCGACTGGCTGAGGGTGGGGGAGGGGCAACAGCAACGTGCTCTCCGGTCCCGGCAGGGCTTAAACCTGCACAGTTTCAGACTTTGGTATCTTCTCTGTTTTATAATGCCCATGTGGTATGTTTTGGTGATGCATTAACAGCAGGGAAAGGAGGGGCTCCCAGCAAAACTCTTGTAAGTGGTTTCAGTCTCTGGAAATGCCAGCTGGACCAGCTGGGTTTTGTAATCTCTTCTAAAATGTAGGTCAGACTACGGCTGCTCCTACAGAGGCCCTCTCATCTTTCTTCCAGCCCCACTAAGTTTCCAGGTGTCGTGTTCCTTCCTGTACAGGGGAGGTAATGCTGGAGCCATCGCTCACGTGTTGTGTCCTCCTTTTCGTTCACAGGGGACGGTCTTTACTTTAGAATCTGAAGAGGAAGAGTACCCTGGGCTCATTGCGGAGGACAGTAATGACATCTACATTCTGACCAGTGACAACTCGGGACAGGTGAGCCCCCCGGAGTCCCCCACAGTGACCACGTCGTGGCAGTCAGAGAGCCTGCCCGTCTCCCTGTCAGCCAGCCAGAGCTGGCACACAGAGAGCCTGCCAGTCTCCCTGGGACCCGAGTCCTGGCAGCAAGTGGCCATGGATCCTGAAGAAGTCAAAAGCCTGGACAGCAATGGGGGAGGTGAAGAGAGGAGTGAGAACAACTCTTCCAACTCAGATATTGTTCATGTGGAGAAGGAAGAGATACCAGAGGGGATTGAGGAAGCAGTGGTGTCAGCCGTCACTGCAGAGACCATGCAGGCAGCCTTTTCAGAAACACTTGCTTCTTTGCAGGAAATAAAGCCTCAGGCTGAAATTGCTGCTATTGAAAAAACACATCCCTCTGCACTTCTGCATACAAAACAGGAAGAAAAGGGAAAAGCAGCTGAAGAGCTTGTTGAACCTGAAATCCCCCTATTAAGTATACCTGTCCTAAAGTTAGCTCCATCAGAAGAAAAAGCTGCACCAGAACCTGAGAAAATACTGCTTCCAGGGGAAAAAAAAGTGGGGAAAGAGGGCTGTTTGGAAGAAATAGAAGAGAAATCTTCCGCTGCAGAGGAGAAGCCTATCTTATTGCCGGAAGGGAAATCTATACTGCTGTACGGTGGAGCTGCTGCAGTAGCTATATTAGCTGTAGCAGTTGGCGTAGCGCTGGCGCTTAGAAAAAAGTAATGGAGCTCTCTTGAGGAGGAGGAGTGGGGAGAGAGGAGAGAGCACGATCCAATTTTTGTAGTTGTGTTACCTAAAGGTTGAGCTGCCTGCTGTTTAACTGGACATTTGAGTAACTTAAAGGTGATGGGGTGAGGTCATTTAATAAGCCTCCAGCTATGGACAATCATGTTTTTAGTAGAATTGGGGTGGGGACTGGTTTTTCGTGATTAAAGTACAGGGGTATTTTTAAAAAAAAAAAAAAAAAAAAGGAAATTTAAGAACTTAAGTGCAGGTGCTGAAGAAAGGGAGGCTCGTACTCTAGGAACTGGAAAAAGAGAACCACCAGGGGAAGAGGAGAGCCAGCTGCTGCCAACCCCTGGAGTTTTTGGCTTCTCAGACTGACCGCTATTGCAGCTGCGCTGTCCTGTCACTTCCCGTCATGCCCCTGAGCCCTCCCTAACAAATGTTGGCCAACCTGAGTCCTGTAGCGAGAGGCTGGTCTCCCTTTTGTCTCAGCTTCCTCTCAGGTACAGCACTGCTCCTCGTAACCTCGCAGGTTCCTCCTAAACCGCAGTGGGAGAGTGCTTATTCTTACCTCTTTGCTCACACCAGTTTTGGCCCCTAACATATATTGGAGCCCCACCCTGTAAAGATGCTGCCTCTCTATAGCTGTATTATCTTTGAGCATCCTGGTGCTCCTGGGGGAGAGGTGCAGGACAGTGCTCCCGCTGCCCAGGAGGGTGGGAGGGACACTGCTATTTGCTGGTTTGAGAATCCATTTGCTCCGCTCCTGCCTGGCCCATGTTACTGCCACCCTCAGGTTATCAGAGGTGCAAAATTCATGCTGGACATGGTGCCGTTCTGATCAGTACTCTGATACCATGGTATATTCAGCAAAGATACAGCAAAACTATGTGGAAGCGAGGCCAGTGCCTCCTGTGCAATTCAAAGGTTAAATGCTATGCTGTCCTGTGTCACGCTGCAGTCTGTATTCTCTTTCCCAAGTTAAGCACAGAGTGTATTTAGTTCTAACTCGGTCTTGGCTGTGACAGAATCCCAGATACATAAAGCAATGGATTCTAGTAACTGAGCAAACCAGCATTAAACATCTCCTCTGTCTGCCTGTTCCCTGACCTGGAGTGTTGTTCAGTGCTGTTTCTTTTGCGACTTTGTATCTCTATAATCAGCTAAACTTACAGGTTCACAAATGATGAGAAAGGTACCTGGGGGGGGGAGGGAGGGGGAAGCGCCCTCTTCCTGCAGTCATACTTCAGGTGTGTGTGGAGAGAAACCTTTTCAGTATTGCCATAGGCATTAGGTATGTCGGATCCAACTGCAAGTGTTCCTCTTTTGGTGCGTGTCTCTGTGTCTGTCCTTGTCTGTACCGCAGCTCTGTGGGCAAGGCCTTAGGCTTTCCCAGCAAAACTACTGACGCATCTCTTGAGCATTCATGCTGGCACTGTGGCTTAGACCAGATGGAGGCAGGTGAAAGGGAACTCGGGATAATGTAATAATCAAAATCTGAGCTTACGGGAAACTTACTCTTCATAAAGCACAAAGACAAGGTACTTTATTTCTCAATAACCTTATCTAGTGTACGTCTCCTGATGAACTTGTACCTTAAGTGATCTGAGAATTAAGAGATTAATTTAGCACATGCTCTTATTTTAGGATTTTCATGCTACATTTTCCTATCCCACCCCATATCCCAGGATGCTGGGAAGTCAGTAAGAACCTGGCAGATCTGAGGAATGCTTTTTGTTTTAAGCTTTTATGAGAGTGGATTTTCTAGAAGACTTCTTGGATTTTGAACTACATGTATGAAGTTGAATATTAAGAGGCAGGATTGTCACATATGTCCTGCTGTGTGGACTGAACTCGGGAGCTCTGGACTTTACTGTTGATCATTGCTCTTTTTCCATGTACAAAAGGTAGCTGGTTGGCCTTAACAGAAAAAGAAACCCTTTACTATGTTGCAAAATGGAATTTGACTTTTTTTTTGCCATTTCCTGGTGCCCTGCTGGTACTCCCATTGCTGTGCTGTGTGCCCAGAACGGGTCACGGGGACCTTCTCATGCCATGGACTCTCCAGTGTCTGCCTTCCCACCACTGCAGTCCCCTCTCCTGGCCCCTCACGGGACCTTCTCTCATGTGGAGAGGTGTCTTTATGCCTCTTTTGTCACAGAGGTGCATGCATGTTTATAGTTTTGCTTCATTTCACGTGTTGCAACAGTGTTTATCAACAGGTGACACAGTCTGTGAGGGAACTGCGTTGTTCCTTATGTGGCAAGGGCTGCTTTACAGCCCAGTAAGTCATGGTAGGCCTGCCTCTCTCCTGCTGCTCTGCTGACGGCTGCTGTTTCTTTCCTCTCTGGTTGTGTTCTCTGGGAGAAGGGCTGTTTTTAATCCGACCTATGTCCTCACTGAAGATGCACCTCCACCTCGGACATCCCCCATCTGCAGCCACCCCACAGGTTACACAGAAGGACCCACATGCACTCTGGAGCAGAGATGGATTTTATGGACTCCCTGTACACAGTTACCCAGAGGAGGGTGTGTGTGTGTGTGCGCGCCAGTGTTACTCTGGCTCTTCTCTGTACATGGTTGTTTCATAGTAGTGTCAGAGATGGATACAGGACAGATGAGAAAAAAATAAATCCAGGCCGGCTAGGGAAGAAGCCCCTAGCTAAAGAGCCCTGTGGGACATTAAATAAAAAATTTCTTCCACACAAAGCAGTGAGAGGGTGGCAGCAGTAGTGAGGAAAATAAATGACACTTCAAGCATTTCCATGGCAGGGCGAAAGCCTCAAGTGTCTGTTGTGTTGTTACATTTAATTGAGGATCAGCTGCACCATCTTTTGGTTGCTTGGTCCTTTCTTTACATTCTTCTCATTTTAGGGTCTTATAGACAATTCAGTAAGAATTTGTACCTTCTCCCCATCCCACTAATCATGCATTTAGAAAATCTCTTGAATATGTCCCTTTTGTCTGGGAACACTCCATTAGCTAAGAGGTCAGTTATGGACTGGAATTTATTCCATGGGGAATCCTGTAGTCAGAGCTGGGACAGGCCCTATGATGTCACCAAGGGGCAGATAAGCTCAGATGATAGCATTCTTACAGACTGAGTGCCAGGCTGCTTGCCCTGTTACAGATGAGAATTAGAAAATGGAAGGGGTTGTCCGTTCCCCCCCCCCCCCCCCCCCCCCCCCCCCAAAGTAATCCTAAACTGCAGGGTCTAATTACCCCAAACCATGTGATGCAACCTCTCCTTAGTGGATCTCTGCACTGGCAGAGAAAAGACAGTAGCTATATACTTACAAAAGGGCATATAGAATTACTCTCACGTGCGTTGCTTATCCCCTTCCCAGAAGTGCCTCAATATCTGTCCTTGAGTGGCCTGTACCTTAACAAAATATCTACCTTAGACCCATTCTCTCTTCACTTTATTCTTGTCTGCAGCACACCCTAAAGCTGAGATGCTAAAACAGCAGAGGACTGGAGCTACAAAATAAGTGTTTAAAGGAACTGTAGTGGGTGGCATGCTAAATAAGGACCTGTCAAGGTGCAACTTAAAATTTCAGTTGTGTTTAAGCTATGCTCACTTGGGTGTTGTGGCAGGGAGCTGGACAAGGTCTGTCTTCAGCAAGCATTCCTGGCTGGGAGCAAAGACTGAAACCCAGAATCCCTGTTACATAAAAGCCCAGACTCCTGAGAGCTGCTTGTTGCAGCTGTGTGCTGTGAGAGCCTAGTGGACTCCTGCCTCCCAACTCCCTTAAACTTCAGAAGCGCCAAGCTATGGGGCTGGCATTGGCACAGCAGTGCAAAGCTGCTCAGCTAGGGCAAAACAGGAGTATTACTGAGCACGCACAGGAAGGCAGCTTAAACTTTTGGCTTTTGTCAAGCTAGGTGGATGCTGAGCAGGGGTTCACAAGGTGTTAATTTGGCTGCTGAAAAATGCTGAAAGTAACTTGGGTCTGAAATATTAGACCTGGCCCAGTGAAACAAACCAGAACCAAGAAAGCAATTATTTTCTGCAGTCTTCTGTTCATTCAGAGGTGAACATCAAGTAGCTGCCTGCTCCAGGTACTCACCTGTCTGAACAGAAGCTCCTAGCATGGAGCCAAACAATGCAGCAGCCACAGAGGTGATCAAGGGACTGGGAAGCCTGTCATGTGAGGAAAGGCTGAGAGAACTGGGTTTGTTCAGCCTTGAGAAGGCTTAGGGGAGACCTTATCACCATGTTCCAGTATTTGAAGGGCGGCTACAAAGATGGAGACTCCCTTTTTACAAGGAATCACATGGAAAAGATGCGGGGTAATGGGCACAAGTTACTTGTGTCCAACTGGAATCTCCCTAGAAAAGGAAAAATTTTCCCAATGAGAACAATCAGCCACTGGAATAATCTCCCCAGGGAAGTGGTGGATTCCCCAACACTGGACACTGTTAAGACTGAGATGGACAGGGTGCTAGGCCATCTTGTCTAGACTGGCTTTGCTAGGAAGTTTGGACCAGATGATCCTCAAGGTTCCTTCAAACCTGGCATTCTGAGTCTGTGATTCATGTTCTCTGTTTAGTATTGCATCTTGTTTTAGACACCAGTTTAACTGCTGGCTGAAGGTGAAGTGCTGGTTGTGGTGTTTGCAGTTGGTTGTTGCACCTGCCTTCTGGAGAGCAAAGTACTACAAGAATCCGTTTGTGAGGGCTTGATTTTTCTTCCTGGCTGGGGGCTGTTGTTCAGGCATTTGCAGCTCAAGGGCTGGGTGGTGAGAGCTACAGTGCTGAGTGCTCTTGCCTAGGGCAAGTTCTTGTGCCAGAATCCCATTTCCTTCCTTTTCATGTAGCTCTGATCACACCTAGGCTAACACTGGACTGTATTTTTAAACTGATGAATGCTTTCTGATGGTCACAAATGAAACATTTCATTAGTACTAAACAAGCAAGGTTCTGAAGTTTGGTCTTTCTTTTTAATGATTGTAGTAGACAAAATAATCTGAGGTCATAAACCTTCCCTACATTTTAGCTACAGCAGTATGGCAAGTACTAGCAAAGCCCTAGTAAGGCAGATCTTGTTATTCTGACAGAAAAAGAGAAGTGCTTCTGGCAGCACAGTCTCTCATTCACCAAGCCAGAGCAAGCCCATGCTACAGAATTGGAATGTGCAATTGCTAGGTTCTTTAGCTAGGAAATGGGGGGGTGGAGGGGTGAACACGGCCCCAGCTGTCACACATAGGTAGAGCCCAGGTTTTCAGTAGAATCTCTGATTCCAAACACAAAATGAACTGAAAGTCAATTCCCGTGTCTCCAACAGGCACAGACACAGTGGGAGTAGTGTCTACTCCAGCAGGTTACACAACAGGAGAAAGTGTTTCCCGGTGAAACAGGGAGAGGTGAGGCACATTACCTCCAGGACCTAATGAAGGCAGAAGCTGTGCATGACTTCAACGTGGCTTCAATTTCAGCACTAGGAAGGTTACAAGAACAGTATTGCTTTGACTCCATGTATGTATCTGTACTTCAAAGTGAAAGCTCTGTATTGCCCTTAAAAAAAAAAAAAAAAGATGTTGGGGGCAGTGTTTGTGAGATTTAAGCCACCACTACTTGATTCCTGTAGGGAGCAGGGCCCCTGGGGCTCGCTCGAGGCACTAGAGTTCCAGGGTACTCTGTGGCTGCTGACTGAACTCTCCTGTCTGGTGTAGGGGGCTGGGGAAGGAGAACGGCACCAGCTGGGAAGGGGCAGCTGTAGTGTCACCAGTACATGCAGGGGAACCACACCGCATCACTCAGCTCCACCTCCTTAAGTAACTCTATCAATTTTTTTCCTACTTAGAGCTGACCCTCTCTTGGTCTCTTAGGTAGGCTGACTTGCTTCCTCCGAGCTAGAGGTCTATGGTCATGCTGTAGAAGTGGGGGAGCTACTGTTAGCTTCCAGTGGAAGCTGCTTTTGATCTCCCTGCAGTATCTGCAGGGGAGGGAACGAACACTTGATTTGGACAGAACAAGCTGCAGAGGATGCATCTTACTGCTGTACCTTTGGGGGGGTCCATCCTAATTTTTTAACTTACATTATAAGCTTTTATTCAAGTATAAAGTTACAACCCACTCTGACCAAAAGAATTGCCACTTGCTTTAGGTAGGAAAGCCTAATGGGACTGACTCTATGTTAGGGGAGATCTTCTACTAGGCTTCTGCTGGGTGTAGGCTTATAGTGACAGACTTGCAGGAATCTCAGATTCTGTTCTCAAGAGGCCTCCCTGGGGGAAGAGACCCTGACTGGTCCTCAAGTCACCCATTATGCAAGGAACTGGTCATATTGTTCCTTTTAATATGCAAGTGCAGCCCTCTTGGGAAAAACTGTCTCTAAAGCTTCTTGTGCTATTTGGTTAATAAAAGTGTTTCCACCTTTAAAAGAAAGTTATTTCCAGCTTCATTGTTCTATTTTCAGTTGAAGGGGTATGTACATTTTTTTCCCTCTGCTAATGGGACACTGCTGTAAGACCATGCCCCCAGGTTGCACTTTAATAAATGGTACAGTTTTCAAAACCAATGTGCAGACTCTTTCTATGCTTCCCCTCTCCTGCTCTAGTGCAGGCACCAAAAGAAAAAAAAAAAGGTGGTTTTACTTAGCAAGGCCCAAGGCCAGGACCAGAGTCTCTCTATTGCTGCCAGCTGCATCATAAGCAGCAGTAAATTAGAGGAATGCCATGATTACTTGCACAAAAAACCTGACAACACACACAAAAAAAAAGCAGGTGGAAATTTAAATTCTTAAGAGCTGTATTGCCATGAGAACTGACAATTTTATTTAAGTTAAACAACCCCACAAAATACTTACATCATTTTAAAACTTCTGAGGCAGCTGGATCACAGGTGAAGCCTTTGCCACCCTGTGTATGATTACAGGTACATATCAAACAACCTGAGTCCAAGTTTGTTGAACCTGAGAAGTAACTTTCAGTACACTCCCAAGAGATGTCAGGTATTCTCATACCTTCTTTCTCTTTATAGCAAGATATTCTAAAGCTAAATAATTTTTCTCAAGCATTATCCAGGTTGCATCCCCTGAAGGAATTTGCCCTGTACCTAACCCCTGCCCTTTTCTTTACAGTTTCTCCTCGGTTTTCTTTTTCAATGGTGATTGATACTGAAGCATCTTTGCTTCAGCCTCCCTGGCCAAAAATCCCTACCTCCTTTGGGGTTGTTCCCTCTTGCTGCCAGCTACCCTCTAAGCTACACATGATTTTCCCTGCCCCTCCCCTTGGTGACCTGTGCTGATTAGCCACCATTCTACAGCCCGAGGCCTTCCTGGGAACAATCAACACTCAGCATGGCTCAGCTGCAGCACCAGGAGCAGGGCTGGGAAGAGAATTAACTAAGGCAAAATGCTACAGCTGATTTAAAAACAAAATAATACTGAGAGGTCAGGCTTTGTGTCCAGCATTTCCTCAAGGCACAAGCCAGGGTCTGCACAAAGTCTGCTACTGCTAAAATTAAAAAAAGAACAAACCCCTAAAAAAACAGTATTGTAAAATGAGAGGGCAAGCACTACTCCTTACAGGTAGTGGCAGAGCTGGCATGCAGCTCACACTACCATCTTTGCTGTGCTAGTCTACAAAAGCCTATCTATGAAGCTCTGCCTTCCCTTTCACAGCTGCATCTCAGAAGTCAAGACCAGAAAATTATTTGCATACATCAAGAAAAGTAAAAAGTCTTTGGAAATCCTCCTTCTCCACACAGCAGGCTGGAGCACTCACTAACGCAGCTAGAGGGAGAGAAACAGAACCAGCATTAACAGCAGCAGAGCCATCCCCCCACAGCAAGCCCCATCCCTGCCTGCCCACCTGGAGCTTGGGCAGGGGGAGCAGCAGCCGCCCCAGCCTGTTCCCAGCACCACAAACCACCCACCACCACCCGCAGCCCCCCCTTGCTGTGCTAATGGCAGGGACACAGCTGGTACCACAAGTCCCAGGGGAACAGAGTGGATGGGCCCCCCGTGCCCAGCTCTATCCTCCCTCCCAACGCCCCTACGCTGAGGTGGGTGGACAACTCGCAGCCCAGCAGCCCATGGCCTGCTCAGCACATCAGAGCCCAGGTCAGTGCCCCACCCAGCAGTAAGGCAGCACGAGGGCGTCTCTTACACTAGCGACCGGTTTCTGTGACAGCTCTGCACCCTTGAGCTACTGATCCCTCACAGTGACACTGTGCCTTGCTGCCAAGCAGTGAACCGCGGTGCTGGGTGAGGTAGCTGCCTACTCTCACATGACACAGGGTGCGCTGGGGCCCTCTGTGTTGCTGCCAACGCTGCAGTGCTGGGGGACACCCCACACCTGCAGCACCCCACAACGGTCACCACTGTTCCACAGGGTGGCAGGCTCACAGCCCTGACAACACATCTCTCATTCTTAAGAATGGGGGAAGGTGTGTGTGTATCCATTCATCCAGCCCCCCTCCCCTCCCCTGACAGGTTAGTTACAAAAGCAGGGGCCAAATGCCCTAACCTCTACTCTGGCTTGACTGCTAGCTGTTTAGACTCTGCAGCTCCAGCAAGCAAGAACAGAGCTGCCATTTGCCATGTGACCATTTCTCACTGTTACTCTGCTGGTGCTGTTTTCCAAGGGCAATTCCTTTCCCCTTTCAGTTCTGCCAAGCTCTGGGGAGCCCAGAAAGACAAGAGCAGATACCACAGGCCCAAGTCATTTGGGAAATCCAGCTATCAGAGCTCAGGTCAGGCTTTCCTTCCCCAAGGGCACTATTAACTCAAGTCTTATTGGCAAAGCTCCCTGAAGAGACTACAGGAAGAAGGGGAGCAACCACATCTCTTATTCTGCCCCACAGAATAAACACACTCTTCACTGGCTGCTCTGAGAATGGGGCAGGCAGAAGCTGTGACATGTCCTCCTCAAGCCTCCCTCCCTCAGCACACAACCTTCAGGGGTCTGCATGGACTGGCATTCCCTTCTGGTCAAACCTCCAGATCACTCCAGGGAAACCAGCAGCCCATGGAAAGCTCAGAGCTAGGCTACCCCTCTGGGAATAACCCAGGCCAGCCAAGAGGCTGGCCATGACTCTGAGAGAGCTGTTTGACAGCACTCACCATTCCGACAATGTAGTTGTGGAGCTGCTGGCTGATGTAGTTCACAGTGGTGCGGAAGACACGCTGTAGAAGGGAGGGCATTGTATTGGCAATTTTTTTAGTTAAGACCATTGCTAGCACCAGCATGGCCTTCTCCTGTTCCATGTCTGAGGGGATGGCGCGTGCAAGCCCTTCCACTGCTGCTGACATGTGCTGGGTTATCTCCTGTATGGAAGGAAGAGAGGGATCTCAGCGCAACAGCTGTGGGAGAAAGGGGTCTCAGTAGCACAGTGCTGGCAGGCTGTGCTAACTGCTGTGCTTGTTCTAACACCTCACAGGATGCCACTCCCCTCCCTCCCAGGCACTTACACACCCTGGATGGCAATAAGGATGACTATCTCCAGGTTCAGCTGCTAACCCAAGACAAAAAGAAAGGGAGACAACACACAGAGCAATGGAAAATTTAGATAGCACCCTCCACACTCAGGGTGCAGCAGCCCCCCTCCTCCCCAGGGTTTGCACCAAGCCTGCAAAGTCCTGAAATGGGAAAGACCAACCCACCTTAAACACAGTAATGATCAGGGGTACAAGCTTAGGCAGGGACTAGCAAGAAGGCAAAATGAGTTTCATAGAAAAGTCTTCACACAGGGAGGAGCTCGAAAAGGTGTCCAAACATGGAATAAACAGTGCTCCCAAGATCAGTTTCCCAACAGGGACAATGTGCATATGCACCCACTAAGCTACACTACTAATGCAAAAAAGCAAGGTCCGCCCGGTCAGAAGTTAGGTTTTTCTCAGTCTTACAGAAGACCATTAGGCAATAAATTTGAAGGCCTGAAACTTAACTGGGTGGAAAGTAAGACTGCAGGAGTAGGGAATGATCAGACTCTGCTGGAAGCAGTCTGTGCAGGTGACAAACCCTAGTAGAAAACCCCCACACCACAAAAAAAAAAAAAAGAAAAGATTGAAGTCATTAAATCCCACTTTTTCAGCAAGAAGGTGGACCCTCAATTCAAAGACAGCATTAGGTTTTAGAGCATAGGAAACTTAATCACAGGCAGAGAAGGCCAAACAAGACAGGAAGTCACAGTTACCTTGAAGATGCCAAAAATGGGATGTCTAACACAAGGGACCTCAAACTCTACTGCCCTTGCAGAGCAGTGAGGCGCATTAGATGCTGGGCCAGAGACTACATCACATCTATTGGTGGGAGAGTGACTGCATCAGAGAGGTGAAGATGTCACCTAACAAAGCCTTCTCTGCAGGTGACCCATCCAAGCCTAAACACACTGCTACTCCCAATACTGACCAAGCTAAACAGTTACGGCACTAGAAAAGGGTCTCACTAACTTGCTGTCTCTTCAGCTTTCAGTAACAAGGTCAAGCTTCTGGCACTAACACTGCTCAAATTTTACCCACATGACAAGCAGCAGACATACAGGACCCAGCAAAGTCTTGTCCAAAGATCTTAAGGACAAATACTAAGCCTTAACCAGACAGATGATTTTCAAAGATAAGCCACTGGGCCAAAAAAACAAGGAAAAAATGCTTCTCGGTCAGTCTCAATTTATCTGTAGAAAGGAGACGAGTCCAAGGAACCACAATTTGCATAGCAACAGCTGCCACAGGATACAGCATCACCTCTAACAAGTCTTCAAAGGTGTTTGGGCTGAATTTAATATGGCAATAATTAAATCAGCAAACTAGCAGAGATAGAGAAGTTGCAAAATTGCTGCTTCAAAGTCACAGCAGGAAGGATGCACAACATTTGAAAGGGGATCCGCTAGTCAGGTTGCTTTTCACTCACCTCTCCAGACAGATTCTCATTCAGAAAGTGCTGCACTAGATCATTTACTACTCTTGCTTTGATTTCTTTATCAAACTGGTCTCCAATCTCAGCAAGCTGAGCAGCAATGATCCGGACAACTTCTTCATTTACCTCAGGGTCAAACACTGCCAACACATACAGCAGGATTTAGTTCACAGGCTTCAGTCAAGACTTGGTTCAGTGCAGGTAAGCTGACCCATAGCATTTTGCCCATCTCCATTCACAACCTCCTTCCCACCCCAAATCATCATGCATTTATGACAGCTATACACACTACAACTCCCTTATGTATGCTCAACTCATTTACTAGAGATGACGTGCAAACAGGGTTTTTTTATCTGTAAAGTGCAGCCTCACCCTGCCCCAAAAAACACTGCAGGGGAGGTTAGAACATCTCCAGTCAAAGTCCGTACAAACACCCTGCCGAGAGAGGGGAGGTGAGAGAGCGTGCATGATTTTTTCAGGTGATTACTGTCAGGACCTCTCTCTCACACACCATCTAAAATACAGCATCTCAGAGAACGGTTTGGGTTGGAACGGACCCTTAAAGGTCACCTAGTCCAACTGTCCTGCAATAAGCAGGGACATCTTCAACTAGGTCAGGTTGCTCAGAGCACCACTGAACCTGACCTCAAATGTTTCTTGTGATGGGGCATCTACCACCTCTCTGGGCAACCTCTTCCAGTGTTTCACCACCATCATAAAAATTTTTTTCCTTATATCCAGTCTGAATCTACTCTCCTTTAGTTTAAAACCGTTACCCCTTGTCCTACCTCCTTTTGGCAAAGCTTCCCATTGTCACTTGGGGCATGAGATGGATATTTGTAGGAGAGAGCGCTATTTACTACAGCTATTCCACCCCACCCTGATTAGGTTGAGGTCAACATGACAGCTGACACATACTCAGCAACAAGCAACAGCCATCCTGCAGATGGCTAGTGAAGCAGAAACAGTACTAGAAACTACTTGAGGAACAGTTTCTACCACACTGGTAGATCAGAAAGGGATTCACCCAGTACCAGAACAAGAGTTGTTCCAAAATCCTAGACCAAGTACTGATACTGCCTGAGGAGTAGTGTGAGGCCTAACAACTGCTTAATATCACACTCCTCAAGGACAGCAATCATTAGTACCAGCTTTGTGGCCCTTGTCTGATGTGCTGCAGACAAGACCCCAGGGTGACAGGTGTTCTAGAAATCCATGGAGAGGTAACAGTGCTAAGCAATATCTGTCTTATTCTAAGTGTTAAAATCCCAACCAATACCACCACCAACAGCCACATTGTGAAGTTTCTCAATGGAGAAAGCGTTACTCCTCTGGAACAGGCAAAGATGGGAAAAAGGGAAAGAAAAACACCACCTTCAGAGAGGCAGGTAGGATGGAGAAAAGAGCACTCACCTAGCTCACCATTCTGCAAGTGGCCGCTCCGATTGCCATCAGTCTGAAGTTCCACCTCATCATCATAGCAGTAGCTGCCTTTCAAAGGCACAATCCCCTGGCTTTGTAGGGAATACAGTTGTTCTTTGAATTTACAGTCAGAGGACACCTCCAGGAAGGTGTACAGTAGCGCACACTCCATGCGGACAGATCCACTGATCTTAAACATAAGAAAATCACTCTTAAACCCATGCCTTGGAAAAGCTCCACTCAAAAGGTCTACCCATACATTGTTTTCCAACCCCGAACACATCTCTGGCCTCTTCTGAATAGAATTAGCCAGGGAGTCCACAAGACTTCAGCAATTACACATTAACTCCTTGATGTGTACCCACATACAACTGTCTGATGGTGAATGATATATAGCTCTGTTCTTACAAGTCAGTAGTGGAAGAGTCAGCTCACCTTCTCCCGTTTCCAGCTGTAACAATGACAGAAACCCTGATCAAAGCTTCTCTTGAAACAGATGTGTACTCAGCACAAACCACCCACCCACTTCCCCCTGTCCAGACATCTGCATTCAGGAGGTTTTTACCCCTGTATTTGGCAACTGAGCATTCTACTTGCTATGGATAACGAAGCCAGCAGCTCCCCATTTAAATGTAATCAGAGCATAGCAGTAACAAGGTGAGAAACAGAGATAACAGCATAAGCCTGCAAAAAAACCCAAGGTTAACATTTTTTTCTCCTCTCTCAAAGAGATCTCAACTAGCTCTGTAATAAACCTGTTCAGGGCCCTGCAAAGAGCCAAGCAGTTGCTCACAAGAACAGTGACACTGAGATGGCAGATAAGTGGTGTCTGGTAACATCTACACCAGCACATTCACCCCCAGTAAACAGGCACATGCTGCCTTCACAGCCACACACCCTGCTGCCTTCAAGCAAGGTGGTATGGAGTGCCCATATTAGTTAGGCTGAGGAGCTCCCTCAAGCACTCAGACTGATGTGAGCAAGAGGTCCCACTGGAACGTGGGGCCCCATAACCAACTAAGGCCTCTAAAGAAAACCAGGAGACTGTCCAAAAATTTTAGTTAAGCAGCTGAGAGAGCAGGATGTTGTATAAATGCAGAAATAAAGTAAGAAAATCTTTAGTATGCAGACCATCTGCCTGTAAGATAAGAAAATGCTTAGACTTAATTGTAACTAGGGAGAAAAATCAAGGCTAAAGTATAATGGTTTGTCTTGCCAACTGCTTAGGGTAATCAGCGTGCAACCAGGATGAACTTGATAAGTGAAAGGGAGTTTCAGGCACCTTTTGGGGAGTGGAACCTTGCAAGGCCACTATACAGGACCATATTGCCTAGGTAACAGTATCAAAAGTGGAACAAACATATCAGAAGTAATTAAGGACAGGTTGTTTACTTCATAGGAGACTGGGCAGAGAAAAGGAGGAACAAAACAAAAAGGAAAGTCCAAAAATGGAAACAAATGGAAAATAAGGTATATGATGAGTCAAAGATCAACAGAAGGCCCATATTTCATGATCTGAGCATGGTTGTTTACAGACAGGAGCAAAGCTCATCTGGTGACCCAAGCTCACTGGGGCACTAGTGGCAATCCCCTTGAACAACCCACTAGACTAGTCATTAAGTTTAGGTTCAAAAGGCTTCCTGGAGGGCAGAGCAAAGAGGGTTCTAATTGTACCCTAACACTAGGTGGGGTGGGGACAACAGACATTTCAATAGCAGTTCAATTTAGTTAATAAGATTTAAGTGTAATAAATTGGAGCTTCATAATTATGTTTAATATTGTACAAAACTGCAATAAATTGATCACAGTGGTGTGTCTATTAATGTATTAGTTTTAGTAGTTTGTAGTCTTATCAGTAAACATTGCAGTCTCTTGTAGCTACCTCTCCAGTCTACAGTTTAAGAGGGGGAATGTCACACTGCAAGGTAACAATGAAGCAGCTTGCAAACTAAATGGCTCCACCCACTTGTCTGTATTCAGAGCTGTGTGAGGGCCCCTGCAGCAATTCCGGGGAAGGCAAGAAGGACAAGAGACAGCACTTAAGACTTATTTCCTTCAATGTATCTTGGAACAAGTGCACAAGAAAAGCACTGGTCACTGTGAACCACCGACTTCAGTCACGTTTGAATCTAACCTGTTCCATGATGGATTCGGAGACAGAGCAGCTCTTGTCACCCTCTGCTTCAGACCAGAAGCACTTGACCTGCAAAAGAGTAAGAAAAAAAAAAGTGTTAAAATGAAAAAAATTTCCCATAAACCCACATCTTGCAGCAGTGCTCTTGGGTCTGGCCATGTCTCAAAAAAAAAAAACCCCAACCTTTCTAGTGATGCATATCATATTTCTGGAGAGGGCTGCCCATCACACACTGGCAGTCATAAAAAAAGGCTGAGAAAACCACAACTGTCCCAGCAAGAAGGAAGGGCAGCCCTTCACCTGAAGGAAGGTCATGGAACTCCTTCCTGCCACAGATACATAGAAGACAGTGGAGTGACATAACCTACAAATGAGGCGGTGCTGGGGAAGGGAGGGACAACCCTTCATAGTACCAGAGGCTGGAACAGAAAGCAGTGTTATCACAGAGGAGTTCCTGAGTACCTACTGAGAGCAGGTGAACTACTTGGGTCTGTGTGCACAGCAGTATATTCAAAATGAAACACCCAGCTGACATTCCTACACATGTGCAGGACTTCAAGTGTGATGCCCCCACACAGATACACATGTGTATACTTAGGCTTACTTCAATACTTTCCCAGCAAATACCCAGGGATAGGGAAGGTTGAACTAAGTACCATCAAAGGCTTCTAGTTACATGAGCACAACTCCAAGCCTCCAGGGAGGCCTACTAGGAAGAAAGGAGAAAAGAGGACCCAGGTCACGAGCTTCTCTGCCCCCATGGTGCACACTCAGCCTGTCTCATGGCTGGGCAGTGCCCAAGGGAAGAGGCATGCAGAGAGGGCAGAAAGCATGGTACAGAGTGTGGCCTCCCTCACCCACTGGGAAAGGGGAGCTGGTAGAAGAGCCCAGTGCTCCCTCCTCATTCAGTCGGGCATAGCTGATGGGTGGGTAGACCAGCAGCTCAAGTAGTGACACCTGGTACAGGAAGTCCCAGAGCATGAAAGGTGCAAGAGCAGCACAGCAAGCATCAATAACACAAGACTATGTAGCAAATGCCACATGGGGAGGATAGGAATCCTGCAACAGTCCCACAGCTGCACACAGAGGTCTCTAGTGCAAGCTGGCTTCAACTCATGATGAGTAGGGCCTGGTTGAAAGTGGGCTCTACTTTCCCAACAGGCCTTCTTCATCCAGGGCAATATACCTGGCTCTTACACAGGTAGTTTGCCCAAAAATGGGGTGAAAGCATCAAGGAGTCCAAACACATGGCCTGGTAACTATCAAAGACCTGGGCTGATGAATGATCCTATTTCATTTAAAACACAGTTGTGAGGGGTTGTTGAAATAATTAAGTGTGCTGGTGGAAAAGAGGGAGGAAGTGAAAGTAGAAATTAATTCAAAACTCCGAAGGAAACCACAGTAATAATATTAAGAGACCATGAATTTCCCAGCTTTTCAGAGGCTCTCAGGAGTCTCCCAAGACCAAAACACAATCTCAAATACGTCTAACACACACAACAGCCTACAGACAACCTCTTAATCATGAGCTCTTTTCTTCATTTCATTGTTACATCAAACTAATAGCTTCCCAAAACACAAGCTTAGCCTTTGCTGCTTTGCATTTGTGTCTGTTCCATTCAAATCCCTGTTGCTTCCACTCACCTCTACCCTAAAGAGTGTGCTGGCTGGGGAGAAAGCAGTCCTCTCTGTCCTCTTCTCTGGGACCTGACAGGGCTCTGGAACAGATCAGGGTAACCCTTCTCCTGGGCTTGACTTTGCTGGAGGAGAGACAGATGTTAATTCAGGTTGGAGAACTTGAGACAGAATCCCCAAGATTAAGACAAATGTGGCAATTTAGCATTACATCTGTGGCAGGACCTTGGCTCTGTGCAAACTCCTCAGGAGTCGTTGTCCACATCAGCAACACTTGTGTAGGCTAGGCAAAGCCTCAACCTGCATATACTCTTGTTTCTTATATATAGTATTTATTTTCAAAGTAATTCATCCCATACCCAGTGTTCATGTTACAACTAGTAAATAGTGGATATCCTCTGACATCAACTCCTGCCAAGTTAAAACACCACTTCCTGAACCATCATGGCTTAGACCACAGGAAGCCTGAAGTAGTATTGAGCTTCTGCTGCCCACATCCCATTTGCCTTGAAACCCACACTCATCACAGCAACCTTCTTGGGCTCTACCAGTATTGCCATCCCCACCCAGCTCTAGCCTGTGCCAAAAGCTTCATGTGGGACCACAGTTCTACAGCTGGTCAGATTAACCTATGTTGGCTAATTTGGGTTGGCAATAGCCAGGCTGAACAAATCTCACATCTTCCAAGGTACAAGTTGTGCCATCCTCTGTTCATACCACACTATAGGTGCAGAGGGGCAGATGTCCTCCCGCAGTTTTGGCAGAAGCGTGATGCAACACAAGCCACTACAGCTGCAAGTTGCACATAAGTGGCCAGATGTGCTAGTGAAACTAGCTGAGTAGCAAAGAAATTTCTCACTCACAAAAACTTTACAGCAAAGCCTCTTCCACCCAAACGTAGTCAAACTGTGCTAGGATGACCTACTTTTTCTCATTGATAAGAATTCCAGTAAATTTCTGGACAGCAAGTTGAATTCAGTTGGCAATAAATAGACTAAATAAAACATCAGCCTGCAGAGGGACCAACATAATCTTTCTTACAACAAGAGGATGGAATAGAAATATAAGTCAAGACACTTCCTCGGGAGGTTTGCTACCTGCCACATCTTTCGAATGAAAGCTCAGAATATGGTTTTAAGAATCCAGATGCTCTATATTTTTTGTCACATTATTTCACACTGCCAGGAGACTCACTTGGTTCAGTCCAAACACTCATGAAAGAGGCAAACAAGAAACACACTACTGTCCTTTCCCCACTCCCTGATTTAAAATAAGAGGCACAGACACACTCCAGTTTGGGAAGAAAGAGATGCACATTGCTCTGTTCCCAAAGTCAGACAAAAAGATCCAGATCTGTTCTGGGCATGTCCATACAGCCAGGCCTGGAAAGCCAGGGCACAGCAGCTTGGCACAAGGCTCTGCAAGTGCATTATCCACATCAGCCTATTGTGGTGACTAGAAGCTCTAAGAGGAGCTTGAGACTGTCTGCCTGTGCATGTTCCTCACATCAGTTCTTAGAAATGTGCAGGAAAGGTGCCTGGCTATAGCTCTACAGACCCAAATACTGCATTCTGAAAGCACTTCGAAGTACTTGCTTTTCAAAGAGAGGCAGAGGCTTATATGCTGCTTATGGCAGAAAGGTCTTCCCTGGGTGCCCTGCCCAGGTAAGACACCTGGGCAAGAGCCCCAATGCAGACAGAAAGGGGCTGTGCAGCCTCTGCCCTGTCAGTACACCTGCTACACCCGCTACACCCAGAGATGTTGGTGGGTGTGCAAGGAGAAGAGACCTGCAATACATGGGGGGTTCTTCCCTTCCCCTCATGGGACCATCTCAGCTCTAAATTCAGACACTCCTCAAGGCAGGTCTACTGAAACAAACGTAAAAATCGCCCATCATAGTTGCAAACTGCAAGTCTGTCCACTCCTGCACACAAACAGTGATAAGACAAAAAAGAACAATGAAAAAACCCGTCACACTCCAAAGTACTTATATGGTAAAAAACTATGACAAGGAGGCTTGAAGATGATAATTTCATGAACTAAATTCCCTGAATCAAAGAACCACCACCCAGGCAGTGAAAGGCCCTGAGGGGTTCCAGTCCTCAGCTAATAAAGTTCTGCTTGGGTGGTCAAAAACACACCTGAGAACAGGAAAAAAAGCATTTCTCTCACACCACAAAATGGCTCCCTACTACTACAATACAGGGCAATTTTTTAAATATATATATTTTTTTTTTTTAGTTAACCAGTAATTCCAGAAACCTCAAGTTCTAGATAATTACTTTGAATCAATACAAAGGGCTTGAATACTCACAAAGTTCCTCCTAAGTAGTCAAATTCCTTAACCGAATCTCAAAAAAAAAAATGGACTCCTAAAGAGCAAACCCCAAACAGTCAAATGTAATCATGCCACCTGGAGTTTTTAATGATTAAAGACTTTGGAATCCTGGTAGGTTTAGATTCAGATTAAGGCCTTTTCTGGTAGATGGAAAAGTTACCTTATATTGGGTGAAAAGAACCTGTAGTTGGAGAGTGAGAAAAGATGGAGATAAAGGCTACAAACACCATTCAGATTCAGAGTAAAACTAGATCATTTGCTAAGGCTACTTTAGGGCTGCTGAGTCTTGGAATGAATTTTATGGAATATGATTTTTTAATTGAAATACCAATTAATTTTAATACATTATTCCTTTTCACACTTTCAATTCACTCAGATAAGTGTAAGTGAGCTTCATGTATTAACAGCTGCCTCTGCGAAACCACTAGATGCCTTGAAGTGTTCAACAGCTAAGACCATAACCAGTTTTTTCAATCAGTTCTTTCCATCTTCCTTCAAAAAAAAAAATGAAGGGGGTATTTTAAATACAAGTTTAGGACCCTTAAATCAGCTCTAAAGAGTCAGCGTGGGGCACGTCCATTCTATCTCAACATTGTGTTGGGATGCAGAACTGTGGAGAAGCATATGTTAAGTAAACAATCACAGTCAGAAGAGCACATCCACCAGCCACCTGTCAGTGCAGAATGACAGACCTCATTCCACCCACACACATGCCAGTTTTCACAAGAGAGAATTCTGTGGATGCTTTCCCCAAGTCTCCAAGGCTTCCCACAATGCAATCACGACTCTTTAGATGGGGCTGAGTACATTCTGAGGGAGGGTACATACTATCCTCCAGCAACACAGGTCCCTCAGATCTGGTGCCCCATCCTGTTTTTCCCCTCTCATGCCCAAGTTGCATTAGCCTTTAAACATTACAAGGAACTCACTAGGGCAGCTGTTCCCAGCTGCAGCCCACTAGTGAGGGGTGGCAACCCTAAAGGCAACAGCAGGTAGGACCAGAAAAGAGAGAGGCAGGACTGCAAGACAATATGCACTCCATGGCTCTCTTCCACACGTGCACCTCCTCCCACACCACTGAACTGCCTCTTGCAGTTCTGGCAGGGGCAAGCCAAAGGAAAAGCCTTGTCTGTTGTATAGTACTCCTCCCAGTCCTTGCTGGTGCTGCCATGCCATCTTGGGCAAAGATGGAGCCCTGGACATTGCTGTGCTAGAGAAAGACCAAACTAGGTTCTCCCTGTCATACCAGTGCCACATACTATGTATTTCAAGAGCAAACACTGCAAGCACACATTTTATCTTCCCAGGTGGGGAGCTACACATGGAAACACTAGAGCTGCAAAGCATGCAAGGTTTCACCTGTTTAAAACCAGTGGAGGGTTCTGCCGTACCTCCCAGGAACTGCAATCAGCTTCCCACATAGCAGCGACAATCAGCCAGTAGCATATGGTTGCCTGTTAGGGGGAACTCTCAATAGCTCTCAAGGCTGCCATAAACAGGAGTAGGCCCCAGAACCCCTACAGCAACAGCACTAACCCACCCTACAATCGGCTTCCATCCCTTCACACTTTCGCTACATCTTCAAGACAGCTCAGAAAATAATGCTTCTGTTTACCATCACTTCCCCTCAGATCATTCACCTCTCCTCACAGCTCATCCCATGAGTTACTACTCTCAACTGTATCAGACACTGTCTGGTTATGAAAACATTCTCTTTCCAGCAGCAAAGCCACATGCCTGTAGGACTGACTCCTTTAACAACTTGTCTTCCAAGACACATCCCATACACACACCTGGACAGACACCATCAGTCAGTCAATGGACCTGTTGTGTGAGTTGTCAAGATACTTATCTTTATGTCTCATGTTTGAGTCAGGAGGAATTAGTGTCTTCAAAGCAGAAACTGCAATAAAGCATCAGTCACTGAGAGGAAAAAAACCTTCCAACCTGTGCATGGCTTTCTCTGCCTGGCAGCTGAAAGAACAGAACTTTATTTTTGGCAGTCAGGGTGACCTCATTATTGGAAGAAATGAAACAGTGCCTATTTGCCCTTTCCTGGACCTAGTGGCTCTTACCCATCTTGTAGGCAAACATTTCACTGTTGAGTTGGAGAGCTCTTTGCAGAACAAGGCATCATTTTACAGGTAGGGAAACTGAGGCACTTGATATGATCTGACATTTTAAATCCAAATACCAAGTCATAACCACTCAGTTTTACAGTCTTCCTGAAAACTTGCCACCACAGACACAACTGCTTTACATAACCAGCCATTACTGGAAAGTGAGGAAGAGAAACATCACCACATACTTATGAAGTTCTTTATTTGAGGATATTTTAAGCTGTGTCAGACTGTCCAAGTCATGACAGTGTAAGCAAGTCCCACATCATACCGCCTAAAGTTCCCAAAGGAATTCCTATCACCCCACCACACTCAATTTCTAGCCCATAAACCCAACAGGAGCTAAACAGCCTGAGCTTTTCCTCATATTTCTCTAGCTTTGGAAGAAGCCTGATTACTCCCACAGCAGCTTCACATGCACTTCAGACTTTGCTAGGCAAGAGAGAAACCAGGAGCAAATGGGAAGATAGCTTGATCCGCAAAAGAGTACTGAGATTAATAAACAGGGCAGCATCATAACCACAGAAAACCTGTCCCCATCACTATTCAGCCTGCAAAGGATATGCCAGCCTGTAATAGGGCTTAGGCCCCAAGATTTGGCTCATCTGAGACCCACTGTTCTGCCCTAAAGTAGAATTTGATTCTGGACTTTGGAAAGAAAAGCA